CCCATCCCAGCCCCACACATCCCATCCCAGCCCCACACATCCCCCCATTCCCCGGCTCCCCCCACTCACCCCCACTCCAGTTGTACCGGGCCCCCACTGTCTCCAGGTTGTTGGCAGCCACGAGCCGGTTCCCCTCATTGATCTGGGTCTCTCCATCCCAATATCCCGGCTCAGGTCCAGCCGCCATCCACGGCGTCAGCGGCTCCACCCGGCCCCGCTCGCTGTCGTAGCGTGTGATGGGGATCCCGTCCATGTATCCCAGGGCCATGAACTGAGGGACCCCCGGGCTGGGCTCCGTCACTGCCACATGCAGGTAACGCAGGGAGTGGAGAACTGGGGGGACACAGAGATTTGGGGGCTCCAGGGGGGTCATGGGTCAAGGAAAGGGGGAACTGGGAGAGCTGGGAGAGCCGGGAAGGGGGTTTGGGAATCCCAGGGAAGTTGGTGCAGGGGGTGTCAGTGCTGGGGGAGGGGGGGCCAGGGGTCCCACTGCACAGGACTGAGGGTTCCAGGAGGTCCCAGCATCAGGGAAAAGGGGGATACAGGGATTGGGAGAGGTGGAATGGGGGGATCCAGGGGGTCCCTCTTCCCAGGAAAGGGGGCCCAGAGGTCCCCAGGGTTGAGGAAAGGGGGGTCATGGGTGACGAGATATGAGATGGTCTGGAATGAGGGTCCAGGGGGTCCCAGAATCAAGGAAAAGGGGGCATCTGGGAGTTGGGAGAGGCGGGATGACTGGGAAATGCACTGCAGGGGGGTCCCAGTGCCAGATAAGGGGTTCAGGAGGGTCCCCATTCCCAGTAATGGGGGTTCAGGGGTCCCAGGGTCAAGGAAAGGGGGGTGCAGGGGCAGGGAGAGGTGGGATGGGGAGTCTAGGGGGTCTCTGTGCCCAGGAAAGGAGGTCCAGGCATTGCCAGAGTTGAGGAAAGAGGACTCTGGGAGCTGGGAAAGCAGGAATGGGGGTCCAGGGTATCCCAGGCTCAAGGAAAAGGGGGGTCTGGGGTCTGGGAAAGGCGGGATGGCTGGGAAAGGGGGTGCAGGGGAGTGTTGGTGCAGGATAAGGGGGTTCCATTGGGTCCTGGAACTGGGGATGGGGGTTCAGTGGTGTCCCAGTGCCCAGGAATGGGGGCCCAGGGGGGTCCCAGTGCTGGATCAGGGGGTGCAGGGGGATCCCCGTGCCTGGAAATGGAGATTCAGGGGGATCCCCGTGCACAGGAATGGGTGTTCAGGGGGGGTTCCCTTCCCAGGAAGGGGGTTCAGGGGGACTCCCAGTCCCGGCAATGGGGGTTCAGGGGTTCCTGCTGCAGGATAAGAGCATTTAGGGAAGTCCAGGTGGTGGGGGAGGCAGTGCAGGAGGGTCCCAGTGCCCAGCAATTGCAGTTCAGGGGTTCCCTGTGCCAGGAAATGGAAGTTCAGGGGGGTCCCTGTGCCAGGCAATGGAAGTTCAGGGGGTCCCAGTGCCAGGCAATGGAAGTTCAGGAGGGTCCCTGTGCCAGGAATGGAAGTTCAGGGTGTCCCTGTGCCCAGGAATTGCCATCGAGGGCATTCCTGGTGCCTGGGACCCCCCTGCAGGAAGCACAGGGAGGGGAGAACTGGGGGGTCCCAGAGATTGGCGGGTCTGGCGGGTCCAAGGGTCAAGGAAGAGGAACTGGGAGAGCTGGGAGAGCTGGGAAGGGTCCAAGGGTCAAGGAAAGGGGGGGCTGGGATTGGGAGAGGCGGGATAGGGGATCCATGTGGTCCCTGTGCCCGGGAAAGGGGGGTCCAGTGGCCCCCGGTGTTGAGGAAAGTGGGGTCTGGGGGCGGGGAAAGGCAGGAATGGGGGTCCAGGGGGTCCCAGGGTGAAGGAAAAGGGAGGACCAGGGGGCTGGCAGAGACAGAATTGCCAGGAAAAGTGGCACAGGGGGGTATTTGTTGAGGATAAGGGGGTTCAGAGGGGTCTTGGAGCCGGGGATGAGGATTCAGGGGGTCCAAGTGCAGGATAAGGGGGTTCAGGGGGATCCTTATGCCCGGAATGGGGGTTCAGGGGGGTTCCCGTTCCCAGGAATGGGTGTCCAGGCGGTCACTGCGACCAGGAATGGGAGTTCAGGGGTGTCCTGGTGCTGGATAAGAGGGTTCAGGGGGGTCTGAGTGCCCAAAAGTGGAGGTCCAGAGGGGTCCCTGTGCTCGGGAATGGAAACTGGGGGGTCCCGGCGCAAGATAAGGAAGTTTAAGGGGGTCCCGGTGCCGAGGGAGAGGGTGCGGGGGGGGTCCCGGTGCCCAGAAATGAAGGTTCAGGGGGGTTCCCGTGCCCAAAAATGGGTGTTCAGGGGGGTCTCCTTCCGGGAATGGGGCTCAGGGGGTTCCCGTGCCCAGCAATGGGGGTTCAGGGTGAGGGAGAGGGTGCGGGGGGGTCCCGGGGCCCGGCAATGGAGGTTCAGGGAAGTGCCGGGGCCCGGCAATCCAAGTGGCCGAGTTGCCCGTTGCGGGGGTCCCACTTACCCTTGGGCTGCCCCCCCGAGCCCCCCGGCAGCGCCAGGAGCGCCAGGAGCGCCCCCAGCCCCAGCGCTGGAGCCATCGCGCTGCTCCGCTGGCCCCGCTTGGCCCCCGCAGTTTGGGA